ATCACATGCTCCCATGTTTCATTTTCTATCCCGCATAACCTACACTTCTTTTCCCTCTTCTTCCCAGTATCTCGCCCCTCTCATCTCATTGTTCATTCTGAACCTAACTATCCTTCTCCATCTACTTTCCCCCCATCCCTTTCTCAGGTATTCCGGTAAACCCTCCTCCTTCCATTCCCCATACCATCTATTATATCTCGACTCTCTTATCCTCTCCCATCTTTCCTCCTTCTGCCTTTCCCTGTCTTCTTCTGTTCCCACCCCTCATATACTTCCTCTCCCCTTCCCCTTTTTTTTCTCCATCTCTTTCCCTTCTATTCCTCTTTCTTCCCAGAATTTCCCCCTCTCTCTCCTCCCACATCGTTCTTTCCTTTCCTCCCCTTATCCTCTCTTTCATATCCTCAAACATTTCCTCCTCTAAACTTCCTCCCCTTCCTTCCTCCAACTTCCTCTCATACCCTACCGCCCTCCTTCCTGCCCTTATCCTAAATTTGTCTTTTCCTATCTCCTCTCTTACCATATACCCCGGCGTGCACCAGTCTACTCCTCCTAACGTCCACCTAATCCATCGCTCCTGCATTGCCTCCACCTCTCTCCTCTCCTTCCATCCCCATATTTCCGCCCCATATTCCAACACCGTCCCCACCAACCTTTCCATTAGCCATACTCTTTTCATCCAGTCTCCTGCAAACCTTCTCTTTCCCATTCCCCACACCTGTCTTATCACCGCTCCTGCTTCCTAACTCTGTTCTTTACCTGCGCCTCCTGCCCCCGTTCCTCTGTAGCTTATACCCTAAATATGTGAATTCTTTCACTTCCTCTAACCTTTTTCCTTTCCATCTCCACTCCACTCTCTTCATCTCTTCCTCCTCCCCTTTTTAAACCTCATTACCTTTGTCTTATCCACATTCACCTCTAACCTTTTCTTGTCCATATAACTTTCCATTTTCCCCAACATATGTATCATCCCTTCTTCATCCTCCGCCAACAGTACCATATCATCTGCGTACGCCAAACAATGCACCTTTTCCCCTCCCAGTTTCACACCCCCCCCCAACCTCCTTTTCTTAGCACTTCCTCTATATCCGCTATCAGCAAACTGAATAAGTGCGGACTCATTGGGCAACCTTGCCTCACCCCCCTTGCCGTCCAAAAATTTTCTCCCTCCTCCTTCCCCACTCTTACCTTACTCCTCGTTTCCCTGTACACCTCTTCTATCCTACTCCTTAATCCCTCCCTCACTCCCCTCCTCTTCATTGCCTCCATTAACACCTCCCTATCTACCGAATCAAACGCCGCCTTCAGGTCCATAAATGCCGCGACTACCTTTCCCCCCTTCTTGTTTACCCTCTTATTCACCAGATAGTTCAACACACATAGATACTATCCATCACCCCCATTCCCTTCCTAAAACCTGTCTGACTCTCCGGTATCATATTTCTTCCCCTCCATTTCTTCCTTTAACCTTTCAGTTAAAATCCCCACGTATATCTTGTATAGCGTTGGCATCAATGTTACTCCTCTATAGTTTTTCCACTTTATTCCCCGTTCCCTTTTTCAACAGTGGTACTATTATCCCTTCTTTCCACCTCTCCGGCCATCCTTCTCCTCTCCATACTCTGTTGCACATTCCCCATACCCACTCTTCTATCCTCTCCCCTCCATATTTCCATACCTCACTCGGTATCCCATCCTCCCCCGCTGCTTTTCCTTTCTTCAGTTTTCCCAGCATCCTCTTCACTTCCTCCCTGCTTATCTCCTGCTCCTCATCCCTCTCCCTTTTTTCTTTTCCTCCTCTTACCACTTTTACCTCTATCCCTCCCAATAAGTCCATGAAGTATTCCTTCCATTCCTCCGCCTTTATCTCCTCATTCACCCCTTCTCTCTTTTTTCTTTCCCTGTTTATAATCTTCCATACCTCTCCTTCCGTTCTTGCCTCTATCGCCTCCTTGTACCATCTTAGCCTCTCCTCCTCCCTTTTCCCTTTACACATTAGCCTATATTCCGCCCTTACTTTTCTATATCCTTCTCCTCCTCCTCCTTTTTTCCTCCATTCCCTTAACTTTTTCCTCACTTCTTTCCTCTTCTCCTCACATTCCTCGTCCCACCACCCTTTCCTTTTCCCTTCTCCACCCTCTTTTTCTCCTTCTCTCAATTCCTCTTCTATTCTTCCTATTTTTTCCTCTAGCTCCTCTTCAATCCCCTCCTTCCACCACCCTCTCCCCACTCTATTTCCTCTCTTATTCTTTCTCCTCCCCTCTTTGTCCATCTCCCTCTTTTTCTTATTCCTTTTCCCTCCCCCCTTTTTCCCTTTTCAGCTCCTCCTCTTCTTTCTAGCGTTACAATCAATGGGTGATGGTCCGATTCTATGTTATCTCCCACCTCCATTCTCTTTATCCTTTCCTTTACTCTATCCTCTCCCACCACGTAATCTATTACCGATTCCCCTCTTCCTCCTGTATATGTGTACTCCCCCTTCCTATCCCCTCTTATCCCTCCGTTAAAAATTCCCCATCCCACCTCTTCCAACTCTTTTATCAACTTCTTCCCTTCCTCATTAACTTTCTTGTCCTTTGATCTTCTTTCTTCTTCCTCCTCTCCCCTCCTATCACCCCCCCCTTTCTACCTGTCCTTGCGTTGAAATCTCCTCCCAAAATCGTCCATTTATTTTCTTCTTTCTCTTCCATCCATTCCTTCATTTCCTCCAATTTCCTTTCCATGTCCCCGTTGATGTATACGCCTATTACCCTCCACTTCTCTCTTCCTACTTCTAAATCCGCCATCATTATTCCCTCCGCCTTTTCTCCCATTCCTGATACTTTTATCTTCCCCCTCTCCTCCCTTTCCCCATGATCATTCCCCCCATCGGTCTTCCTTTCTTCTTTCTCTTCTTTGCTGCTTGCTTCTCCCATCTATATCCTTTCGGTAACCTCTTTTTAATCGCCTCCCACCCCCTTTCCTCTATCCATGTTTCCATCATCACCACCACCTCCCAATCTTCTATTTCCTTCCAGAACTTTTCTTCCTTATTCTTCAGCCCTGCCACATTCCAAAAACCTATCTTCCATTCTTCTCTTACTTCCCCTCCTTTTTCCTTTCTCTCCTGTTCCTTTCTCCTTCCTTCCTCCGTCCCCCCTTTCTCCTTCCTCCTTTCTCTTCTTACTATTGTTCTCCCCTCCTCCTTTCCTCCTTTCTTCTCTTCTCCCTTCTTCTATCCCTTTTTTTCCTCCATTCCTGTCTTCATACCCCCTTCTTCCCCCCTCATTTTCTCTATACCTTCTCTAATTTCTCCTTTCCAATTTTTTAGCACACCTTCCTCTCTTCCCATCTCCACCATACATCATTGATTTTTATCCTTCCATAGCTCGTCCATACATTGTTTCCTTTCCTCCTTTCTATCTCCGCGATCTCCATTAGTCTCCATTTTATCTTTCTCTCTTCCCATGTTAAATCATCTTCTATTCTCACCCTCTTTCCTCTTAATATCTTCTTCCTCTCCATTACCTGTCTTTTCTGTTCTCCACTTCCTAGTTTTACTACCACCATTTCACCTTCCTTTCCCTCCTTTCCTTTCAACATCCTTATCCATTCTATCTCTGCTTTCGCTCCTATCTCTTTCATTAATTTCTCTACTCTTTCCTTTACACCTTCCTTCCCTTTCTCCTTCCTTTTATTACATGTTGTTTCTTCTCTCTTCTCTTTCCTTCCATTCTAATTTCTTTCCTATGTCCTTCACTTTTCCTATTATTGTCTCGTTTATCCCCTTACTCCCTCCTTCGCCCCCCTCTCTTTCTCTTACTCTCTTTCCTTCTACTCTCCTTCTCTCTTTCTCTTACCTTCCTTTCTTCCTCTCTTCCTCTACTCTTTCTCTCCAAATCTATCACTCTTCTTCCTCCAGGCTCTCTATCTCTTTTCTTAATTCTCTTCTTTCTCTCTCCATTCCCCCTCCTTTTTCCCAATTTCTATCTTCAATTTTCTCATTTCCTCGCCTAACTTCTCTGTTATCTTCTCCCCTATCTCTTCCATCATTCTCCTTAACTCCTCCTTTTCTATCCCCCCTACCTCTCTATTCAGCCTTTCTGTCTTCTTGCTTGCTCCTTCTTAGGCTTCTTTCCTTTTCTTCCTTATCCTCCTCTCCCCCTTCTTCTCTTTTCCTTTTCAAAAAATCCTCTATGCATCCCATACTGCTCCTCCTCTCCTTCCCTAACTCCTCTACTCTTCTCGGCCTCCCTGCCTTCTTTTTTATTTCTTCCTCATCTCCCTTTTTTTCCCCCTTCCTCTAACATCCTATCTCTATTGATCTCTATCCTCCTATCTCTAATATTCTCTTCATTAATCATTTCTTTCTTATCGCTTTCTTTCTTCGATTCACCTACTCTATGCTCCAACTCGCTCCAACTCGCTAGTGATTTCCCTAGTGAATTCCCTATCTTTTTACTTTCCTGCACCTACTCCCTACATCTACTCTCCTCTACTCTCTTTCTTCCACGTGTCTACGTGTCCACGTGTCTCACCTTTTCCTACTTTCTCCTTTCTAACTCCTTACCCCTTTATCCTCTCCTATCCTTTCAATCTCTCCTCCTCTTTTTTCTACACCCTCTCACCTCTTATCTCCTATTCACCTCACCCCTTTTCTCACTCTTTCCTCACAAATACCTGCCACGCTTTCACACACCTGTCACTCACTCTCTTACCGGAACCGGAAAGCAACATCATTATTTTTATATTATTATAATTATTTTTATTTTATTGCATTATAATCAATTGTGTTAATAATTACGTTTATAGAACTTAAATTCTCCAATTTGTGTTTATTTCTTGTTTTGTAGATATATATAAAAATGAATTAATTTTAATATTCGTATTACATGTGTATGTACATATAATTTTAAATATTACATTGTATTGGATAATTTCATTTTTACTTTTTATCATCATGCAAGGAATACAAATAAATATTTATCGGATAACTTCATTTAAAATAATTTTTGTATTACCTTCACAAATGTTGGAAATGTTTATGTCATTTTCATTAACGTCATCAACTAGATTATTCCTGGTATCTGAATTAAAATTAAGAAAACTTATAATTATATATTTTGTATTTTTTTACACGTATATACATATTCGTACATACATGCATATATACATATATATATATATATATATATATATATATATATATATAATGGCATTAAAACATTTTAAAGATTTAGAGTAAAAAGTTATATTTAATTGAAAGATTTGTGAGTTTTATGAAAATATATTAATAAAAATTGGTTCGAAACTGTATTTTATAATTACTAGATTTAATATTAATTTCTGTTTTCCAAATTTAGAATATATTTTTGTGCATAGATTTAAACCAGTTATAAGATCTATGATCTTATAATATATTAATAATATATGCTTATGCTTGAATTGTAATATACATAATTGTATCATATATGTCTGCTTACCAAGTGAAATGATAATCGGTTTAGTATTGTGTACAGGCAATTCTTCTGCTGGATTTTCCAAATCCAAATCATCACTATCATTGTCATCTGCACAAAAAATTAAAAATAGAATGATACGACATATACCTATTATGCATGTACATGTACAATCTCGCATATAATAATAATTTTACATTTACTAGACATAAATCTAATAAATATCTTGATTAAATATGTTTTTATACTATACTCATGACTTGATCAATTTCAAGAAATGACAGTGATATATATATATATATATGATAATGTCAGTCATAATGAAACTTATAGATGTCGTAATACAACAAATAAAACTTGTGACACAAGTTTTGAAGGTAAATACTATATATAACAATGTTAAAATAATGTTAATTTAACATGTATTATTGAATAAATTACACATATATATATATATATATATATATATGTGTGTCTGTGTAATTTATTCAATAATACATGTTAAATTAACATTATTTTAACATTGTTATATATAGTATTTACCTTCAAAACTTGTGTCACAAGTTTTATTTGTTGTATTACGACATCTATAAGTTTCATTATGACTAACATTATCATGGATTGTGGTTAATTGTTTTGATGTTGACATAATAGTTGGTATATTTTTGTCACAAGTTTTCTTTGTATTAATAAATTCGGAAACTTCATTATCTATGGTATCAGATGTTGATGCAAATTGATTTGATTTTGATACAGTAGTTCCTGAACTTGATGCATCTGCAATATATATGTATATATTTTTTAGAATAACATTTTTATAATAAAGAGAAGTTGTCTAATAATAATTTTAATGAATACGATAATATTACTGATAAAAAGGAAAAATATTAAGTGCAAAATGAAATAATTTGTTACATTTTTTTAAAACAAATTCGTTACAAATTATACTTTCTTATATACTTACACTTAACAATTAATATAATTATATAACACAATTAAGCTTTTTATGTTTAAAAATAGCAAAAAAGACAATATTAATATAGAATATTAATACACACTATAGTTATTAATGTATTATATGCTAGTACTATGTAATAGTCTTGTTATTATATATAATTTACTTCTCATACCCATGACAATATAATCCAATTTTGATGGCAACGGTTGTAATTTTGTTATACTAATAATTTTAGGTTTTTTTTTTACTTGTTTATCATCTATGAATTAAACATATATAAAAATTATTGTAATATAAAAGATATAATAATGTCAATATAGGAGCATAACATTTAATAAATGTATTGAAAAGACAAAAACACACACATATCAGGTATATAACATTACCTTCAAATTCTGAAGAGATTTCTTCATTTTCAGTTTCATCAAATTTTGGATTTTTTTTTCGAGATCGCTTTTGGGACAACTCATTATTTTTTTTTAAATTGTCGTATAATACTTCGTCTTGGGAAGAATACCCTGTGCACTGGCTTTCAAAATTTTTGCACTCCTGATAATTTTCTGTAGAAAATAAAAAAAATAGTTCTAAAAAATTCATAATATATATATATATATATATATATAAAATTCATAATATATATATATATATATATATATATATACATACAGATATAAATAAGAATTAAAAAATTTACATTTTACAAGAGTTTAAATTGTAAATTTTTTAAATTATTACTCACCAAATGGCTCAAACAAACAAGCATAATCGTATTTTGTCCACTCTGATTTACATGATATTTGTTTCTTTATCCATGTTGTAATTATGGAATTTTTTTCAGTAGGCCAGTAGACAATTTTTTTTCTTTATCTACTCAGTTTTCTGGGATAGATTGAAACCAATTGTCAACATGAACAACATAAAACATCTATAACCATTTATTTATTTTATACTATCTTTATATACACATAGAAAATAAAAATATATAAATTTAGTAAATATAATATGCAAAAAAATTTATTAAAAAAAAATTAATAATAATTGAATTACTAGTTTTATATTACTTATAAAGTAATAAAAACGAAATAAAATAGTTATATACAATATACAAATATAAAAAGATCTAAATATCTCATACGTTTAATTTAATCTTGTTACAGTAGTATACAATAATTTAAAAAATTTAATGAATGTTATTAATTACCACCAGTAATAAGTTACTTTTCAAAGATTTACTATTTAAATAAAAGAAAGTAACAGTAACTCATTTAGAAAAAGGGGGGAGGGAGAGAAGAATAAACAACTACTCTGATCCAATTATATCATATGTGCATTATGTAGATATATAAAAGGTCAATAATCGCATATGTAATTTATGAATTTTTAATTCATTCTTTTATCTAATATTAACTCTTTATTATAACTATCAAATATTCTTTTTCTTCTCATAATATTAACATACAAAATAAGAAGCGCACACACACAGACACACATACAAAGACTTTAAAAAAAAGGAAAGCAAATAAAAAATTTAGTGATAAATTAAGAGTATATGGTTTTAACCATAAGAGAAAATAATATTAATTCAGAATATTACATATAATGTTTGTTCAGTACAAATAATTAAAGAAATCACAATGAAGAATGTAAAAGTGGTAATACAAATGCTGAATTTTCTAACGTTATTTTTATACCTTTTTCTTTTATATGATTGATTGTAAATCTTTTTAATATTTTACTTTCACTTTTTATCAAATGTACACCTAATTTACTAGATTCTAGTGGATAAATGGGTACATTAGAAACTATCATTTTATATCCTATGCAAAAAATTTCCGAATTTAATGTTGCAATATATTTTATATTATATATACTGCCGTTTTTTAAATAACATATATTATTTGGTGCTGTTGTACGTAATGTGATCTTTTCAAAAAGTAATCCTTCATAAGAACCATCATTACAAAATGGAATGGCTAATTTTGTTTTATTTTTATGTATTAATATCGGATACGTTTTCTTTTCTACAGTTTTAACATTTGCAACTAACATTTCTTCCGATATTCGTTTGTAAAGTTGTGATAATGGTTTATCATGTTTGCGTAAGGATCTCTTTATATTCTTCATTTTATTCTCAAACGGAAAACAACTGAAATCATCTAGTCATGCTCGAAATGTACCTACATCATCAGCAAGATGTATTAAATTGTGTACGGTATATGTACAATTTTTTGTACCATACAGACATTTAAAATTCTGCACAAACCACATCAATAATTTTGCAGCATATTCTTTATTATGTATGCAGTTTAAAGGATCGCATAAAATTCTAATTGCGCAATGAAGAGCAGAAAAATGTTGAATATAATTATTTGGTAAAACATCATATAAAATGAATGGAGCGAAATACAATAGAAAAAAACGAAATTTCATAGCTTTCCACCTATGAAATTCATTTAAGTTTGATCTTGGTTTTCTCGATATTTCTGAAGGTAATTTTTGATTTAAATGTAACCGCTCGTTAAGTATTTGAAAAATTATGACTGCTAATGCGACATTCTTTGGTACCTTTTGTCCACAATAATAACAATCTTTTCATTATTCCAAGTAAAACTAAATGCATATAATCAAGTGGGAAAGCACTGACCATTCCAATTCCAAGTCTCTCTAATGGAGAATTTCCAGTATGATGGTTAGGATCAAATTTATTTTGAAAACTGTGATCAGTTCTACGTTCACAATTGTAATCTATAAATACTACTTTATCACTGATGTAGTCCCCTTTTATTATACAACGTTCACATCCACTATAACCAGTACAATATTTTATGCATTTAACAAATGAACGAGCTGGAGAGTCACAGATGATAGCTCTAATTCTAACAAAATAATGGTTACCATTCCATTCAAAACCTTGATCTCGTAAAATACAATATTCATCGACAAAATCATTTAAAAATTCTTCAACAGAAGAAGGTTTTGACATGCCGTGATAAATTCCAATAATAAAAGGCTTGGTCTACATTAATAATTTTACCTTGAATTGGCCATAATTGCTTGTTACTACTTTTAGAAATTGGCAATCCATCAATGTTTATATCAATTATTATAAAATTATTGATTAAATGAAGTTTGTCTTGTCTGCAATAATTAAGTAAAACTTTTAGAAGACCAAAATATAGAAATTCTCCATTACCGCATGGTTTACATTGTGTTACACTGACACATTCTCTCGATGTATGTAGGAAAACTCGAGCATCACTTGAAATATTTTCATTAGGATGATATTTTTTATATATTGTTAATAAATTTGACAGAGCATTATTAGAAATATTATTTGAAATAGCCCAAAATTGTAGTTCTGATGCAAATGTTTCATTACGATCTATAGATAAGTTAATTGTTTCATAATTATCATCCACTCTATTTTCGGTTAAATCAACTTCTTCAATATTAGAACTATTTGAATCCGCTGCTGGAATACTGTAAAGTTTCATTAAAGTCTGTACATTGCGATGGAATAAAAAGATTTTCTATTTGATGTTCTTCAATGGTTTCTTCTTTAGTTGGGACAGCTTTATTTATATTACTTTTCTCTTCAAGATTATAATTTTCAAAAATATCTAATTCTATATTTTGACGTAATAATAAACGTCTGTTTCGTTGCCATCTTGATAATTCGTTAAATGGTTTTACTTGACGTTTCATTTTCATGTATTATTACTTAACATGCAAAATTAAATACAACTTACTTTTATTTTGTATAGTAGTTGTTATTATTTCTTAAGTTTTCAAACTTTTCTTGTGATGCGTGAGTGACTTTTATAAATCTGTAATAATAAAATATATGAATAAAATTATATAACATGATATTATACATTAGAAAGACTAAAGGAATAAGATATTCTATATAAAAGTAATATAAAAAAGTAATATGTGCACATATAATAGAAATTTGTATTCATAGTCAGAAATCACCTGTTGAAAGAACATGAGCTACATATGCAGACAAATATTTATCCAAATTTATCAATATATAAAGATTTGTATTGAATTTGTTGGCAAACTAACAAAATAGTTTGTTTACTGAATGATAAACAATAAAAATAAATCATGCGTTTATTTCAAGGTTATGTAGTAGGAATATATTTAGTTCAACTACTTACCATTCAATAACATCCAATAATTAATATAATTATAATGTAGCACTATGCCTGATGTAGTCTGATACAATATATAAATAAATATATTACCACCTTTTTATTGCAAAGTACGCATACTACGCACACTGCACGAGATTACGAGATATGTCCGAACCGAACACGCACAGTCCAGATACTCATGTGTGTGAAGTTAGCCCAGCACTTTTCGAATTTTGAATTTTTCTTGATTGTGCTGCATTATGCTCCGTTTGTGCTGTATTGTGCCGCAAACGGCAACTCTCTAACTCGAAGCATATTCAAGAAAAACAAAAATAAAATTTTTTTGCTACCCCAGCACTTTTTGAATTTTGAATTTTTCTTGATTGTGCTGCATTATGCTCCGTTTGTGCTGTATTGTGCCGCAAACGGCAACTCTCTAACTCGAAGCACATTCAAGAAAAAACAAAAATAAAATTTTTTGCTAGCCCAGCACTTTTTGAATTTTGAATTTTTCTTGATTGTGCTGCATTGTGCTCTGTTTGTGCTGTATTGTGTCGCAAACGGCAACTCTCTAACTCAAAGCATATCAAGAAAAACAAAAAAAAAATTTTTGCTAGCCCAGCACTTTTTGAATTTTGAATTTTTCTTGATTGTGCTGCATTGAGCTCCGTTTGTGCTGCAAACGACAACCTTCTAACTCAAAGTATATTAAAAAAAAAATAAATTTTTTTTTGCTAGCCCCGCACTTTTCGAATTTTGAATTTTTCTTGATTGTGCTGCATTGTGCTACGTTTGTGCTAACTTGTGGCGCAAATGCAAGATCGATAACACCAACAATAAAAAAACTTGTACCATATTGTGTCGTTGGAAAAATTTCAATATCCCATTTTATTTCGATAAAACAAATTCACAAAGATAGATTAAAAAAATATTACAAAAATTAAAAAAACATAAATCACACTGCAATGCAAATATAGAATTTCTGCAAGTTGTGTTGAGTTGTGCCATTCAAAATCTACAAGACACATGTATAAAAAGCAGGGATTAGCTTAAAGGGATGAAAAAATTAATAAAAAAGGGATGAGAATGAATCATTGAACTCTATCCATTGAGATCTTTGATAAGAAAATCCTACATAATGTCTGTTATAGTTATATAATTTTTATCGATTTGAGTTTTGAAATTATTAACACCCATTAATATTTCAGTTCTTAATTTATACGTATTTTGAATGCAACCATTTTTTAAAAGACACTTAATGAATTGCATGATGTTAGTATCATTTGTTTCAATACTATTTTTATAATATTTATGAATGCATGCACATGCAATTATAGATGCGATACTATCAAATCCGCACGTATTGGTAATAACAACTTTTTTTTATCGATAGTTAGAAAGGGACATAGACTACCATTTTGCAGATTTGCGACTCCCATGCGCGTCTTTCCTGTATGACTTATATCCCAGTCTGGACAATTATCCAAATATGTTTTTCTTTTGTTTGTTTGCGTTGTGTTTTTATTTCTTCAATTATGCTCTAAATTTAATTCGTTTATATCGTCCAATATATTATCCTGAGAATCAAATTTTACTCCAATATTTGTCGGAGAATTAGAGTTGGTTTTAAACTTTTTTGATTGATTGAGCATAATTGGAAAATTTGATATGTCTCCAGACTGGTTGCTTTCTTTAATAATAGTCGGAATAATGTGTTCAGTTTCACTTATCGAACTACTAATGACATCATTCTTTGTGACTGACTCATTATTTTTAGCAGAAGACGGAGAGTCATGTGCCGACATAGCCAATCGTGCTCTACCTACAAACGATCTTAAATGAGTGACTACAAATTTATCTGCTCTCATCGGCCGTTCTTTATTATTTAATAAGATATGCTTAATATCTTTCATCTCAGACTCTACGGATGATAAGCTAGCATTTATCTCTCTATATTTAAAAATAGGGATCATTACTCCCGAATATAGTGGAAAGTAGCAAAGAAATGTTTTTAATTTTTGGCTTAATTGCGGAACGTAATATGGACTTGCTATATCACATTTTATTTTTGTTTCTACTAGCGTTTTGCGACACTCTTCAACAAGATTATTAGACCATGATGCAATATTACAATTTGTTATTTCCAAATCAAAATCTTCATCTTGTGTATTATTGTCATTATCTTCATATGTAACAATTTCTTCAATACCTTTTATATGATTCCTTATAAGGATACGAGCAGCTTCCGATAGAGACTCATTTCCATCATTATTTTTCCCAATTTCTTCACTGAGAGATAATAAAATAATACTCTTTATTAATTCGACGAAATGAGAAAAGTTCGTCTGCTTCGTTAATAAAGCCATAGCTCGTATATAAAATTTTTTTACTTTTGGATTTAGTTGTGAAAAGAATTTCCATTTAGACACCATATTCATATAATGGCAAATATCAAGCCGTATGAAGCACTTTGGCATTTCAACAGAATGTTCTCTTAAAATTAGAGAAAAACAGGTTGTTAAATAATGTTTTAAATTTGAGTATTGCACGAAAGCTTTCACAATGGCATTAAGTAATGCCATATCAAAATCGCATATGACCGATTTAGGAATTGGAAAATTTGCTTTTTTAATCGATCCAATACGCAAGAATTCACTTAACCAATACTGAATAGCATTGACATTTTGCACAGCACTCAACATTTGAAAGACTGGCATTTTATAGTTAGGAGTATTTGTAACGGCTTGATATAAATAAATATGAGATGATAGTTCTCCATTTGGTAAATGAAATTTTTTAATTAACGAACCAGTTGCATCTATGTAAAGCGTATTGTGATATTCTAAATAAACAAGCATCTGTTCAGCTGTCCAATAATGGACAAAATATGGATCATAGCCTATACCATGGATGGAACCTGCATGATTTATATATTTCATATTTTGCAGATTGGTATACGCACATGATCTTGTAACTTGCAAGTCGAGATCTTGTCTTTCTTGTTTTGCCTTTCTCAATGTAGTAGCTTTATATAGATGTGGAGGTTCCGAATCATACAAATTCATTATTTTTGTAGCTTCTCGCCTTCGCCATGTTGTTGCCGACAACGCACTCGTTGAAAGAGATTGTGATATCTCTACTCTTTTTTGTCCACTCAGAGGACGTTTCTTTGTGTGTTTGATGTCCGCATTAAAATTTGTCACACGACATTCCATTTGAACATCTGTGTTACCATTAGGTTTTATAATAACTTTACCAATAAAATTTGACGAGCAATCCGAACATTTTGCATAAATAGTAGCATAAATGCCCGTTTCAGATATTGAACATCGTTTAAATATAAATGCACATGGTAACTTTGCAGTTTCATATATAAGTTCGAAAATTATATTTGTCCACCTACGGCGGCGTAATGTGTTATAATTTCTCTGTACCTTGCTATTAGATTTATAAATTACTGATTCGCAATCTATATCGTGCCATGTTTTTAAAGGTATATTGACATTAAATTCTATATCTTTTTCCGTAATTGATAAATTAAATGATTTGTCGTCATCATCAGTAGATATATCAAGTTTAGTGTTAATAGGTTTATCTAAATTGTGATATTTTAAAACTTTGTCATATAACTCATATCTATTTTGCAACAATATAGTATAAATGTATTTTGGGGAAATCTTTCCCTCTAATAAAGAACTTAATTCTTTATATATAGCAGATTTTGGAACAACTACTATTCCATTTTTATCCAAAACGCATCTATATTTAGAACATAGTAATATTTTTTCTAATACATCTATTGGCGCCATGCTTAGTCATAAAAGAAAATCTGTACGAATAAAATGAGAGGTATAGAATAAAATCGAAAATAAATTTAAATATATTTTATGAAGGAAATGCCAAAATTTGCACTGAAAGTAGACGTAAGCAGACGTCTTACGCGTGACTAATTAAATCAGCCGTCGTCGGTCAGTCGTCGCTCTATAGATAAGCTTCTTCCTCCACTACTAAGGCTCGAGCGCATGCATTTGTTTTCGACCATTCCCCTCGCGCGCCAGCACTGTTCGCCGTTCGTCTCTCACGTAGCGGTATATTAAGAACATATAAAAATTTTATGTTATCGTTATTTACAACAAAAATTTTCACAATATTCACAATTTTATCTAGTTTTATTTTCAAATATAATATATATATATGTGTGTGTGTGTGTGTACATCTATAATATTAAAAATATAAAAAATAACATCAAAAATATAAAACACAAAAAATATATAAAAAATTAATAAAATTAAAAAAACAAAAATAAAAAAAACAAAATGGAACCAGAATACCGCTACGTTCACATCGTTGGTTCCGGGTAACGCAAAAAGCGGTGTGTGTGTGTGTGTGTATGTGTCATATTAAATATATTTATCACATATATTTATACATATTAAAATTAGATGTATAAAATGTCTTTTTATTTATTCTCATCCCTTTTTTATTAATTTTTTCATCCCTTCAAGCTAATCCCTGCTTTTTATGCATGTGTCTTGTAGATTTTGAGTGGCACAACTCAACACAACTTGCAGAAATTCTATATTTGCATTGCAGTGTGATTTATGTTTTTTTAATTTTTGTAATATTTTTTTAATCTATTTTTGTGAATTTGTTTTATCGAAATAAAATGAGATATTGAAATTTTTCCAACGACACAATATGGCACAAGTTTTTTTATTGTTGGTGTTATCGATCTTGCATTTGCGCTACAAATTAGCACAAACGTAGCACAATGCAGCACAATCAAGAAAAATTCAAAATTCGAAAAGTGCGAGGCTAGCAAAAAAAAAATTTTTTTTCTTGAATTTGCTTTGAGTTAGAGAGTTGCCGTTTGCAGCACAATACAGTACAAACGGAGCTCAATGCAGCACAATCAAGAAAAATTCAAAATTCGAAAAGTGCTGGGCTAGCAAAAAAATTTTTTTTTCGTTTTTCTTGATAGCTTCGAGTTAGAGAGTTGCCGTTTGCGGCACAATACAGCACAAACGGAGCACAATGCAGCACAATCAAGAAAAATTCAAAATTCGAAAAGTGCTGGGCTAACTTTACACACATCAGATACTCGCGCATGCAT